TGTCCGACTGATTGTCCGATTGTCGTGCTGCAGTTGGACCGATTGTCCAACCGATTGTCCGATTGTCGGACTGCAGTTGGACCGATTGTCCGACCGATTGTCCGATTGTCAGACCGATTGTCGGGACGCAGTTGGACCGATTGTCCGACCGATTGTCCGATTGTCGGACTGCAGTTGGACCGATTGTCCGACCGATTGTCCGATTGTCAGACCGATTGTCGGACTGCAGTTGGACCGATTGTCCGACCGATTGTCAGACCGATTGTCCGATTGTCGGACTGCAGTTGGACCGATTGTCCGACCGATTGTCAGACTGATTGTCAGGACGCAGTCAGGCCGATTGTTGGACTGCGGTCCAGCCATCCTGAGTCTTTCTCCTGGTCTGGTGAATGAATCAGATTTCATATCTGTAAAAACTAAAAGCATGTATAATTTCCGCTCTGCTTTAGAATGACTCCCTACATTTCGTTGCTATCTGAGATAAGACAAAGTTGTTGAAACTTGAGTTTTTGGAGGGACTCAATGTAAAAGTTGTGAATATTTCAGGCGTTTATTCAGTAATGACGTCGTCTTTGTTGCTGACAGATTGAGCGGCGCATGGAGTTGGTGCGCGTTGTTTCCCACAACACGCACAAGAAGATGGTGTCATGTCTGCAGGGTCACATCGGAGCAGAAGCAGAGAAGAGACATGTAAGTTCATGACCTGAGGCTTTGTTCATCCCTAAATGTCCGAGTTGTTTCTGGACTGCAGAGGTCGGCAGAATGCTCCATGATGTTCTGTCTCTGTTTCTGACCAGTCTGTCCCGCGCCTCTATACAGGAAACGGTCAGGTAAAAACCTCCTGAATCGTCACATCTTCCTCTCCTTTCCATCTCAGCATCTGTTTTCCACGCATGAAACTCTGGGAAGCAGAGCTCCAGCTCTTCATCACTTCATCTTCCTCCCTAGTCTTCCTCCTCCTGTCCTGCTCAGTGGAAGCTGCTGAAGGCTCTTCCACCGGCTGCAGCTGTAGATCCTGAGCTTTGCTGGTTTCCTCTCTAATGTGAGCTACTGTGTTGTTTCAGAAAAAGCTTCCTCTCACCGCTCTGTCCCAGGCCATGGTGGAGGGAGGAACCCAGCTAGGGGAAGACTCGTCGATCGGGTGAGTCCGGTATCGGCTGCCGTCGGTTCCGGGTGAGAAACCGTCACTCTGCCTGATCCTGTCTGTGTCCACAGGAAGATGATGGAGGTGTGCGGTGAGGTGGAGAACCGTCTGGCCACGGAGCTGATGCAGCACGAGCTGCAGATGGAGAAGGAGGTTCTGGACCCGATCAGCCAGCTGGCAGAGGTCCGACACGCTGATGGGTCTGGTTCTGGTCCATTATGATGGAGGAACCTGGGCCGACCTCCTCCTGGATGTCTGCTGCTGTGTTGAACTGGACTGTTTGTGTCCTGCTTGGTGATTTCAGGTAGAAATCCCAAACATCCTGAAGCAGAGGAAGCAGCTGGCCAAGTTGGTGTTGGACTACGATTCTGCCAGAGCCCGGTCCGTCTGCATCCATTTGGTTCTGAACGATTCAGGCCTTCCTCTGCATTTCTAACGTTTGCTTTGCGCTGCTGCTCTGGACTCAGGTGGTTGCAGGCGACCAAGTCGATAATCTCAGGAACAAACACTCAGGCGCTGACGGCCAAGGCAGACCTGCTGAAGGAGGAGGTAGACGAGGCCATGAACAAAGTGGAGCTCTGCAAGGTAACCGACGGCAACGCTCTGTAGTCCAGGTAACCGACGGCAACGCTCTGTAGTCCAGGTAACCGACGGCAACGCTCTGTAGTCCAGGTAACCGACGGCAACGCTCTGTAGTCTCTTTGCAACTTTATCATCACGTCACAGAAGAAAATATGATTCAGAGATGCTGTGACATTCTGCCTCTTCACTGATGAAGTTTTTTAAACACAGAGACATGTCTCCCTCATGTCTCCCTCATGTCTCCCCCATGTCTCCCCCATGTCTCCCTCATGTCTCCCTCATGTCTCCCTCCTGTCTCCCTCCTGTCTCCCCCATGTCTCCCTCCTGTCTCCCCATGTCTCCCCCATGTCTCCCCCATGTCTCCCCCCATGTCTCCCCCATGTCTCCCTCATGTCTCCCCCATGTCTCCCCCATCTTGCTCAATGTCTTCACTGCTCTGGTCCCAGTAACATAAACTGGGAGGAAACCAGTTTGCTGTTTTTATTCTGTTATGATGTTTCTAAAATCATAATAAACACATTTAGGGCTCCAAATAACGATTATTTCAGTAAATATTATTCTGTTGATTATTCTGACATTCAGATTAAAGTCACATTCTGCAGATTTTTCATTTAACCTCCTAATATTCATTCATGATATTTGAAATATATTAGATGGAAATAATGTCAGAAAATAAACAGTTTCTTTCTTAAAAGTCACTAACTTTTCCTTCCTTTAGTGAAAGTTTGTCTGCACACGAAAAGCCCAACAGCAATGCAGAGTATGGATGATCCTGGGGTTACTATTGGTTACCTGGTTAATAAGTGGGTAGGGTTAACCCTAACCAGAGGAGTTGGAACAGACTAATGTTCTTATTTTACATTTTGTAATGTTTGGCCTCATTCCTGCTGTGTTTCAGTAAATGTCTTTATTCTGCAGTTATTGATGAATCATTGTTGTAATGTGATTAACGGTTTGTGGAACAGGACCAGCTCGCTGCAGACATGTACAGTTTCTTCTCCAAAGAAGGCGACTACGCCCACTACTTCATCACGGTGAGTCCAGGTCTGCAGAGCCGCCAGGAGGCCCAGCAGCAGATCCATCCATGTTTGTTATTGTGCATCAGCTGAGCCCTTCCTCCTCTGTGTGTGTGTGTGTGTGTGTGTGTGTGTGTGTGTGTGTGTGTAGCTCCTGGAGGCTCAGGCTGATTACCACAGGAAGTCTCTGTCTGTTCTGGAGAGCGTTCTGCCGGCCATCCGGGCCCAGCAAGGTAGAAACCTGCAGGAAACGCCAAACGGCTCAGCCGTCCACTTCCTGTTCACCACATTCAGCGAAACCCGAGTCCGTCCTCTGCTTCAGATCCTGAGCCGTGAAGATTTCATCTAGTTTTTATTTCTTTGCTCTGCAGCCTGGTTGCTTTGTGTTTGTCCTGTTTTCTCTCTGGACCAAACATGTGGCCTTAACCAGCCCAGCCTGGCTCCCAGCATGAGGGCATGACTCACACACACACACACACCCACACACACACACACACACACACACACCTGGTTTTTCTAGCCGCCCTCTCTCTCTCCGATCTGTATTGACTCTGACATCTTACTGCTGATTGGACGAAGCGTTTAGGAGAGTTTTGGATGGTAAACATGCATCAACATAACCTTTGACCCACAGTCCGATGCTCAAACTCCTGCTAGACATTTTCTTTCTAACTTAGTCCCACAGAGGCAGACGGAGAAACATTTCAAAACCATTTAAATGATCACAGGACGCAGCAGAGGGAGGAGCTTAGCAGCTAACGCTAATGCTAGCTGTCCAAGTGACGACTGACGGTGGTAAATAATAAGAAATAATGATATGGCAGCTATAGAGGACATGGAAGAGATTAAATGATCACTAAGCTTCATGTCAGAGGAGTTACCATGGCAACAGGAGTGTTTGCTCAGAGCTGTAAATGAAGTCACTAAAACGACGCTGATGGAAGATTTAAAATTTATGTCCAAAGCACTTAAAACAGAAACAGATTAGTAAGAAGAGAAACAAACAAAACCTAAAACAAACTGAGATTCAGAACAGTGATGATGGAAAGAGGCATTTCCGTTAAAGGTGTCACTTTATACCAGAGGTTCCCAAACTGTGGGGCGCGCCCCCTAGCGGGGCGCCGTGTCATTGCAGGGGGGCGCGGGAAGCCGTCTGGATGAAAAAAAACAAACATGAACACTGTATGCGCTGGGTTTCCACCTGTGAAGGAGACCTGCTGCTGCTGAGCGGAGCTACGTAGGTTTGTGTTAGAATCACGGCAGCAAACCAGCAAAACGCAAAGAACTTTTCACAGTTTTCCCCCCCAAACTAACCGACTGAGTTGAGTAAAGCTGCTGGATGCAGGTAATGTTAGCTAAAAGATGACTAGCTAATGTTAGCTAAAAGATGACTAGCTAATGTTAGCTAAAAGATGACTAGCTAATATCAATACAGAACCTTAAGCTTAACAAGTACCTCGTAGGCTACCGATGTTGGTGTCTATTTTCAGCTACGTACATTCATTTGGCCCCCCAAAAAGTCGATGCTCCCCCCCCCATCACACGCGTCGTTTCAACCAGACAGCCATTTGTAATCCATAGGGGGGGTGCAGAAAATGTTTGGAAACCTCTGGGGGGGGCGCAGAAGAAACAGTTTGGGAACCACTGCTTTATACAATATCTATAGTGTGTGAAACTGATATGATGAAGCAATTATGGAGTTAAATAATCAGATGTTTGTTGTATTTGAAATAGATTTTTAACTGATTTTCTCTTTTTGTGAAGACAAAGCAGATATAAGTTAATTCTTTCTGCTCCTTTCCTTCAGGATTTCTTTTGGTTCTTACATGAACTATTCTAATAGAGAAAGAAAAGAAGCGATCTCCATTCCCTCTGCTGTCTCCTTTTCCGGCTCAGACTCCTGGATGGAGAAACCGGCATTTGGAACGGCTCTGGATGATCACCTGAAGAGGAGCGGCAGAGAGATCGCTGTGCCGATGGAGGCCTGCGTCATGATGCTGCTGGAGACCGGCATGAAGGAGGAGGTGAGCCGCTCAGCTGGAGGAGAGGCTAGCATCCCCTCTGCTAGCATCCCCTCTGCTAGCATCTCCTCTGCTAGCTTCCCCTCTGGTAGCAGCAGCAGAGAGCAGCTTTGACTGGTTAACAGGATTTCTTCCATCAGTCTTAACTTAGAAAACAAAGGTCTGATCTCCGAGCTGCTGTCGGTAAGTCGCAGCTTTCAGAAGGGATGAAGTGCTGCATCTGCCGCTCTGCCACCATGACATCAGGCTGTGTGTTTGGCTTCATGCTGTGCAGCAGGCAGATCCATTTTACTCATCAGATCTGGAACACTGTGTTCAGAGTCGGGGCTCACATCTTCTTCTGGAGTTTCTCTGTATTTTAATTCGTATTTCTGCCTGTTTCTATGTTCCAGGGTCTGTTCAGGATCGCAGCTGGAGCCTCCAAGCTGAAGAAGCTGAAGGCGGCGCTGGACTGCTCCACCTCCCAGCTGGAGGAGTTCTACTCAGACCCCCACGCTGTCGCCGGTACGGCCCCATCCGCTCCGCAGGTCACTGCCGTGGCCTCCCAAAGTATTCACACCCTAGACCTTTTTCACCTTTATTCAGTCATAAACTCAGGTTAGAAAACACCACCATGCCTCCAGTGAGGGATGGTGGTGGCAGCATCATGCTGTGGGAAGATGGCTGAAGCTAAATCAGGAATATCCTGTTGGAAAAATTGTTAGATTCTGCAGAAGAGCTGAGAAGTTCAAACACTTCCTCCCCGACATTAAAGGATTTAATTAATACCTGTGTTTTACAGATTAGCTTGTTCAATCTTACATTAATCCATTCATTGAAAAACACATTCAAAACTCTGTTAGCATGGACTGATAAGCCCGGGAATCACAGGCGCGTCATTAAGAATGCTAAAAGCATTAGCATTTGAAAACATGTCAAAAACTTAATAAAAATGAATAATGGGTCCATGGCAGTTCAGCCGAATCGCTACGGATCCTTAAAACAAACTTATCAAAAATAACAAACTTCTTATGGAGTTCTGATCCGACATCCAGAAATGTTCACATAGACAAAATGACTTGAAAACAAATCCCAGCAGAAAAATTAGCAACTCCCAACAAAATGATCCAAACGGCCTGAAAGTCGAGCGACTCACCGCTGAAATGGTAACTTCATCCCAAGTTTCCATGGAGTTTGGGACGTAAGAGGCAGACGGCGCCCCCTGTGGCTGGTCGGATCAAGGGCTCACATATAGCACACCTGGTGCGGTGGCATAAATGTCCAGTTGTTTCTCCAGCCAGTTGAACTGGAACCGTTGTGCCGTGGGCCGTTTCTGTGTTTTTGATCAGGCGCTCTGAAGTCGTACCTGCGGGAGCTCCCTGACCCCCTGATGACCTCCCAGCTTTACGACGAGTGGATCCAGGCCTCCAGGCAAGGCGCCCGGCTCCAGCAGCAGACATGGAGGATCTCTGCTGCAGCTAACGGCTCCCTCTCTGCTCCTCTGGTTCCAGTGTTTCAGACCCAGATAAACGGCTGCAGGCTCTCTGGCTGGTCTGTGACAAACTACCAAAGAACAACAGGAACAACCTGAGGTCAGTCAGCTCAGCCTTTCATCAGCGCTGCGTTTCAGGTTTCAGCGTCCGTCTCTCATGTCTCCCTGCAGGTACCTGGTGAAGTTTTTAGCCAGACTGGCTCAGGACAGCGAGACGAACAAAATGACACCGAGCAACATGGCCATCGTCCTGGGACCCAACCTGCTGTGGGCCAAGACCGAGGGGTAGGAGGCGCAGCAGGCGCTCCGTCATCGGCTAGTCATGTCTGGGTCTCATCTCTGCTCTCGTCCCGCTGGCCTGCAGGAGCCTGGCGGAGATGGCGGCAGCGACCTCGGTGCATGTGGTGGCCATCATAGAGCCCATCATCCAGCATGCTGACTGGTTCTTCCCTGAGGGTAGGTTCTGGCCGGGTCGGGCCTTTGGGCCGGCTGTGGTTCTGGCCCTTCATCACTCTGGAACCAGGAAGTGGAGCTTTAGAACTTCCTGTTCCTGGCTGAAGGCTGGACATGATAGTAACGGTCTGTTTCCTGTCCAGACGTGGAGTTTAATGTTTCCGGCATGTTTGTGATGCCGCCGCCGGCAGCGTCCAATCACAGCAGCCCGCCGGACGCCGACTGCAGCGTGGAGAGGAAGAGGAGCAGCATGCTGGGAGCAGACGCAGACACCGCGCGGAAAGACAAGTAATCACCCTAAGCTCCGCCCCTCAGGAAGCCCTTAGCTCCTCCTCCTCTGATCCGCCTGTCAGGAGTTTATTCTGACTTCAGTTCTTCCTCTTAAAGGGCCGGTATCATAAAGTTAAGTTTTGATCTTTCATGTTTCCATGTTTTCCCTTTGGTGTTGCTTTGATTCTTTCATGTGAGAGGAATCCTTTAGTTTCCATGGAAACTATTCAGCTGATAGGACACCTGGGTGGACCTAGCCCCGCCTTCAAGCTTCAGCTCCTCCAGACTAGCCAGCAGCAATTAGCAACCAGTTGAGCTCTTTATAGCTGCTGCTCAGAGCAACACACTAAAGACATTAAAGGGTTAATAGAGGAGCCATGTTGGGACAACTTCCTGGAGGTGGAGCTTCAGAAAGAGCAGGAGCTTCTTAAAGAGACAGTGGCCCAATTTCATATTTTTTATAAACAGCATTTTGTACCACCTGAAGGGGCCATTGGGGGAAAACTGGGCTTTTTTTTTTTCCCGGCCCCCCCCCCCCCAGCTCTAACAAGCAGTCGGACCCCGCCCTCCGTAGAGGCACTAACACCTTAGGTAGAAAGCAGCACACCTCACCTGCCTTCCAGCCTCCTCTGCCCCCTATGGAGGCCCCCGTCCTGGGCCATGGGGTCCCCCAGGTTGACCCACAGGCCCCGCCTCCAGTGGGGGGGTCGGGGCTGGATGGGCCCCAGCTCAGCCTGGTCCAGGATCTGGCTGCTCTGGCAGCAGTGCAGCAGCTGCTGGCCCAGAACACAGAGGAGCTCAGGTAAGAGCTGCAGCTCCTGCTGCATGGCTGCAGCAGCTCCTGCTGCATGGCTGCTGCAGCTCCTGCTGCTGCTGCAGATCTTCATGAATTCTGCTGTTACATTTGTAGTGATGTCATCAGCGTGCTCCTGTAATCTGACACCTTACTGGATCCAGTCTGGTAATCAGATTACAGTAATTTATCCAGTCACTGTAATCTGGATAAGTTACTGTTTTGATGAGCGTTGAGTTTAAAGGAGACATGATGGATGAGCTGCTGCTTCAGCCTGGAACAGGAAACAGAAACCAGAGCTTCCTGCTCCCTGCAGGCCGTCGCCCCCTGGTGGAGGGCGGAGGCACAACAATATAACTATCATTAATATTAATATTTAGTGTCGGCTCCAATGTGAAATAATAATAATGAGTCGCGGCGCTTCACACTGACCACCAGGGGGTGGCAGCAGAGTGCAGCTCTGCACTTTGACTAGGCCATTCTTTAAGGTGAACCTCCAGACTCAGGTTTTCCTCCAGGATTCTTCTGGCTCTGTCCATGAACTCTGACCTTCCTCCCACAGCATGATGCTGCCGCCACCGTGTCTCGCTGTGGCAGATGGAGTTGAACAGCAGCAGCTGATGCTCATCGCGGGTTCTGACCCACAGTGTCCAGAACCAGAACACGATGGCTGCTGGTTTTGGACCAGATCCTCCTGCTGATCGACTCTGTTCTGGTTTCTGTTTTCTGTACAGCAGCCTGAAGCTGCGGGACGGCGCTGCAGCGGCGCCCACGCCGGTTCCTCAGAGGAACGGTTCTGGAGGCGGTGGGCCGTCTGGGACCGGGTCCATGGGGCCCAGTCCTCACATGATGCGGCGAGGTGAGTCGGACTTCTGGCAGCACAACGCCCGACGCTTCACTGCAGGCTGATCGACACCTTCTGATCGCTGGTTGCCTAGCAACAACCTGCTGGGGCAGCAGCAGCTTCAGGTGTTTTTCACTTTGTGGAGTAAAACAGGAAACGTCTCCATCAGGTATAAACATGGAACCGGGTCAGAACCGGGTCAGAACCGGCTATCTAAAGCTAATCGGTCACTATGGATGGACAGATATGAAGCCATTATATTGTGACGGGTTTCAGTAGTGAGACGTAGATATGAGATCAGTAGAACCTGTCCGTCTGTCCTCAACCTGTCCTCCTGTCCT